CTGGGAAACAGTCCAAACTCAGTGGTTACTAAATCTGCTCCCCAGTTCCAGCGCGGTGGCATTAAACGCGGTGAGGGTGGCAGAACCCTGTTCCTCTCTGAGTGAGGCTAAGCACAGCGTGAAGTGCGCTCCCAGCCCTACACACCTTTCTCCTCAAAGGCTCTGCCTCTGGATGCTGGAAATAGCGCCAGACCAGGGCAGTCAGTGGTGTGGCCGTGGGGACCTGCATGGCTGTTTACAAGATGAATGAGAAAGGCTTTAGTTTGAGGAAGTGCACACCGTGGCTGCCTCCCTTTGTCACTTTGTTTTAAGCTCTGCAGCCACTCATGGGACCCACCCAGCCCTCTCCTTCCCAAACCAGTTCCCATGATCTAGATGTTTCTCCGCCCCATACTCATCACAGCAGCATACCCCTCGCCCGATGCTGATATTTGTCAATAATTTCTACCTCCTCACTTCTCATTTTCTCCTCAATTTCTCACTGTCCTGAAATGACTGAAATACCCAGCGTTCCATTGCTGCTGCTCCTGTGGAGCGCACTGATGACCTTCTAATTAAAAAGCATCATGAACCCTTTTCTGCTATTAGCTAAATGAAGTTTCTTTATATCATGTGGTTAACTTCTTACTTTTTGAAATTATATACACTCTGCACAAATTTCTCCTGATTCTCCTCCTGTCCCTCTGTGTGTGGATAGCTGAATAAAATAACTTGCACAAGAGAACATCGAATAAGTAAGCCCAGCTTGCGTTGCTAGCAGCCACATCTCTGGATGGTATTACTCATCCACAATAGCTCATAATCCATCGGTGATAAAAAAGTGTTGATATCTAAGGATGCAGTAGCTCAAGACTGTTTATATCACTATGATTCTATTTAACATAATTGAAATATAATTACATGACATATTATTTTTTAAATATTTGTATGTATAATTGATAGTGCTCTTTAGTAACTATGAAAAAGCCTTTAATTACTTATTGTAATCTAATAATGTGACTTGCACACAGTGTGCTCTCACTTCTATCTTAATCAAATTATTTTGGTTCTTTGGAAGTTATTTATGCAATTTTATATAATTTGTATAATAGTTAGTTACCTAAGTATCAGTTTTACTAGACAGTTAACTCTTTGTAGAATCAAAATCATGTCTTGGCATATCTTAAAGAATCTTGGATATAGTAGGTTTTCAATAAGTTAGATTGATTAAAATGGTAGACAGCTTTTTTAAAAAGAAGACTTAAAAGATCCTTTACGGTAGTGAATTTCCCATTAGTGTAATATTCACCTAAAACTACAATATTCACTCATTTTCTGGCCAGCAATATTGCATTACAGATAGTCTAATAATTAGAAGATACAAATCACAGCCAGATGTAGAATTAGTATGACTCGACTTGTGATTTTCCAGTTTATATAACAACTAAGTTACATAATCATAGATTCAATAGCAGTATTTTCTGTGATTTACAATGTATTCCCAACTATCTTAGCAAATATATAAGACACACACATCTGAGTAGCAATGGGAGAAAAAAGCATATTAAAATCAAGCACAGCTTACTAAACAATTCAACTTTTCAATCAGGCTCTGAAACTATAATCATCAGTGCTTTGCACTGCATTGAAATATGCCATTTATTTCTGATTATGATTAATGGTTCTTTTTAGGCAGCCAACTTTCTTTGCCATTCAACAAAGATTGTGTCCCAGGGTTTTGTCATTTCAGGTTTAGTCGTATTCATAAATCTGAAAAATGAGATAACTAGATGTTGAATTTATAATTTTATTTTATTAATGTAAAAGTCCTGTAGGCAGGAAAAAAAGCAACCTGGATGCCTAATACTGACATGAAGCCTGATACCCACATGATGAAAGAAAAAGAGAAAAACAAACAAACACTAACTGCGCTGAGCTGTGAATTGATCCCAGGGAGCAGGAAGACTATTTTGATGTGTGTGGCCAATGTTTACCATTTTCATGACATGCAACAAAACATCAAACAAACAAGAAGTCTTTAAATAATTTTGGCATGACAACAAGTCAAGGGGGAAAAGAAGAGTAAAATACCCACTGGTATTTAAAAAACAAACAAACACTTCCATAGGTGTCAAAGATGAATAAAAGGAACATTGCCTCACTGCCAGAGAACAGAATAAGTGGGCATGAACACGTCCATTAATACAGGGCTCAGAGCATCATCTTATATATGCATCAAATGGGAAACAAAGGAAAGAGCACTAGGTGTGGGTTGGGGGGGGATAATCTAGGTAATATCTGAAAAGGTAATCACAGGCATACATTACAAAAGGAGAGACTACATGGAGCAATAGATGTACCAGAATAACTACACAGTAATTAACATGCCTTCTTCCTTCCTCTTTGGGGAATTTTTTTTTCATTTAGATAAAAATGAGTCCTGACTGCCACAATATTTCATTTGGCAGCATATCAGGTAATTTATATTTCAAATATGATCTCATCATCAGTTCCATCTGTTGATATTAACTGAACATTCATAACGTTTGAAACTCTGACTTGTAGAAAACATACCTAAAAATCAAAATCTTTGAATCTGAGAGTCACATGCCAGTGAAAACAGTTAAGTGTGCTCTTACCTTGAATATGTTGTACACTCATTTTAAACCTTCACTTTTTTTTTTTTTTTTGTGAACAAGGTTCCAATAATTTAATTTTTCAGTATTCTTAGCAAGGTATTTTCAGGCTTAGTGTAACCTGAAGTAACTAACTACCTTTAAAAAGCTACATTTATTTTTTTTATTGTTGAGAGTCCCCCATTTCCCCTCCTTACCCCCCTCCACCCATCTCCCATCCCTCCCCAGGCCCCCTTCTGTCCATTGTCTGTGTCCAAAAGCTGTTCCTATATGCTTATAAGTTCTTTGGTTAATCTCTTCCTGCCCTCCTTCCCGCCTTCCCTCTGAGGTCTGTTGGTCTGTTCCATTCTTCCATGTCTGTGGTCCTATCATGTTTGTCCATCTATTCTGTTCCTTAGGGTCCACATATTAGTGAGATCATATGGTATTTGTCTTTCTCTGACTGGTTTATTTCACTTAGCATAATACTCTCCAGGTTCATCCATGCTGTCCCAAAGGGTAAGAGATCCTTCTTTTTTACAGCTGCATAGTATTCCTAAAGTTTGACTTTTAATCCCCCCAGCTCTCCACTCTAACTCCAGTGACCAGGGCAGGGAGAAACTATAGGCATCTGGTATAGTGAGCTTGAATAAGTGTTAGACTTTCTTAAAGACAACTGGCATATTTTTTATGTTAAGCCACAGGGGGCGGTGGTGGAAGGGGTTGGGGGGGAATAACTGCTTAACGAGATCTGATCCTAACCAATCCTTGTTTTAGGGCTATTCATAGATTTAAAGATCTTTTTCCTGCCCAGCCAGTGTTGCTCAGTGGTTGAGCATCAACCCATGATCCTGGAGGTCACAGTTGGATTTCCAGTCAGGGCACACACCCAGGTTGCAGGCTCAATCCCCGGGTGGAGGCGTGCAGGAAGCAGCCAATCGATGATTCTCTCTTTTTATTTATGTTTCTCTCTCTCTCCCTCCCTTGCTCTGAACTCAATAAAAACATTTTTTTAAAAAGAAAATTTTTTCTTTCTCTTGCATTTTATTTTAAAACTGAAAGCTGGAAAAAGCAAAAGATCAAGACAATGTTGGAATGGAGAAGTACTCTAAGTGCTCAATTCATAAGTTCGTCCCTTGGTCCTTAACCCAGATACTAAGACCTCCTGTGACTTCCCTTCCACATGCAGAAAATCTGGACCAAGTACAGAGCAGAAACTATCCAGTCCTCTCTGGAAGTCTGTCTCCAGCTAATAAACACCCCTCCTTCCTCAGCAATCTTGGATGTGCTGCCTTGACCTTCAAGACCAAATTCAAGTTGTTTCTCTCCGTGGTATTTTGCCTTGTCCCATCCAGACAGATTTAACCAGACCTTCCCTTGTGCCAACCCTTTACCTTGTGTGCAGTTTTCATTATGCTTTTTAAACTAATTTACATTTGTGCATTTTAAGGTCTATCTCCTCTACTAGATTGAGTTTCATTCAAATATCCTCATTCAACATTATTCCCATGCCACAAGAGGAAGAAGAGTTAAATAATGCCTTCTCCATTTGCAATAACGTGTCCACCATAAATACTGTTGCACTGTTGTAACCAAAAATGCAGATTTGGCTGCCTGCCCCAAGGAAAGCCAAACTTGTGACTGGTGCTGGTGCAAAAGGAAAGAGGCTTATTCAGGTGGAGTGACCTGGGAGAACAGTGAACTCCCATCTCTAAGACCACCCACCATTACTGCTCAAGCCCATGGATCTTATAGAAATAGGGAGGGGAGGACTTTTCTTCTGTCCAATTATGTTCCTAGCTTTTGGTGCCCCGGGGCCCTGTCCATTCATCTTTCTAGCTTTTGTTGTGCTCAGTGTAAGAACCTCCCTCTGTGACCATCTTGACCAATGGGGAAGACTCCCCAGCACTCCAACTGACTGTCTACAGTAACATTGTTCCTTTTACATCTCCACTTCTGTAATTGAACTACAAAATGCCGTTGCTACCTTGCTCAAAGGGAGAGTCAAAACATGTTTAAAATGAATTCTATCTAGTGCGTAAAATTACCAAAAAGCATTTATGAAATTGTTATTGACTACAGGTGGTGCTGTATTTGGTTTTTGGTTTATCTTATCAAAAATGTGTCCAGAGCAATGTAATAATCTTCAATAGAGAGATTTTGAGAGCTTGCTCAAAGTAGGATGTTGCTACCTTATTCAAGCAATATTTTAAAGTATGTTGTTGTCCTGAGTAAAAAAAAAAAAAAAGTGATTTGGAAATAACCACTCAGATTTTTAAATTTCTAAGCATCCATTGTATATTTTGGAACATAGAAATGTTGATATACAATTAGTGCCTGCTTACATTATTAAAGGGGAGTAAAAGGGTGTTTTTAGTAACCATCTGGAATTTTTTTCTCCACTAGGATATTCAATACTTCAAGCTATTATGGAAAAGGCAGGACAAAATGGTTGGCATGTCAGCGCTATATGTGTGGAAAATTTTAATGATGTCAGCTATAGACAACTTCTAGAAGAACTTGATAGAAGACAAGAGAAGAAATTTGTAATAGACTGTGAGATAGAGAGGCTTCAAAACATATTAGAACAGGTAAGTCCTGGATTTTATATTATTATCCTAGACCTTCTACTAAAAAAGCTGACCTTTGATTTACTTGTACCCATCAGTATCTTTTTCCAACAGTTTAGTTTGAAATGTGGAGTTAGGGAGTTTCGTTCTATGGGTTATCTCCAACACTAAATCATAACCTTCTATCATCAAAGACCGTTTTGGTTCTTAGGTCTCAGTGCAAGGAGAATTTCTCATACATTTTTAAGATGTACAATAGAAAGAACCTTTTGTGAACCATCAAGATCTCTTGGCCTCCTATTTTCATAAACATTAACTTTGAAGATTAATGTCATCTAAAATATCTGAAAACTGTACTGTTTGTGACTGTGTGCTTTCTCTAACCTTTAAAGAATAGCTACTTGAGAAATAGCAACATGAATTAGTTAAGCAGTGAAATAAAATAAAATCAAGTGGCACAATGTGTGTAGCATATTTTCTTCTAGATGTGTTAAGTAAATACATTACCACCACAAGAAAGGTGGTTTTCAACTCTCCATACGAAGGAAGAATCCTTGAATAAAACTTTCAATAAATATTTGTTGATATGATTTGAAGGAAACTATGAAACAGAGCTTTGTCATTGTGTTAAATGATAAGAAAGTAACACCAAATAGTGGATAACATTTGCTTTCTCCCTAACCCGCATATCATGATAAAGCTTTGAAAGTCTGTATTTGGCCAAAATCACAGTGAATGAACGCCACCTAGTGGTTTTAGAAATGTTTGCCCATATTCATTTACAATATATTAGGTTGACCAGACAATGTTGTGGCGTGATGTTTTGGGGTTAGTTTGCTATATAGAATTTATCTACATAATTATATGATTTGTAGTAGCAAGCTTTCCCATGAGCAGGTTTATTTATAAAAATAACTTAAATATGCAACTATTCAAAACCAACATGTGTTTCAGAGGTTTCTCCTTATTATCAAAGGGCACTAAACCAGATGCCTTAGGTTTCCTTCCTCAACTATATTAGAATTTGTAAAAGTTAAAAGTTTAAAAGCATGTGGCATTTCTTTTAAAGGTCTGGTGAAGCCAGAGCAAGAGGAAATGCCAGTGTTTTCACTTTCTGTTATCCTTTATAGAAGTAAAAAGCAACACTTTATGGAAGAAATATGTTTACATTATCTTGGGAAATATTCATTATAAAACCTGTACATTACTCAAGTTTATTCCTGAGAGAATCCAAAATTATTAAGGCTGTAATTATTCAGGGTATATGAAATTTTTAATGTATACTTAGGGAATGCAAGAAAAAACTTTCCTACTTTCTTAAGCAAGACCATCACTTCAGCTGAAAGTTCCATTCTTCCTCCCTTCCACTCCCGCCCATGTCGAGAGTTTGAGTCGTTTGACCTGAACAGCTGAAGCTTTGTAAATAACTCCCCATGAATCCCAGAGAGCAGTCAATTCTAAGAACTGCCTGGACTGCCAAGTTCCTGTCAGAGCTTGAGCAAGGCTCAGAAAGACCCTCCACTTAGCACCTGGGCTTAAGAGACCGTGTCTGGAGACGGCAATTGAGTGGCTAAAGCACACTGACCCATTTCAGAGGCTTAGCTGGTTTCTGAGAAGAAAATCGGTGCACATGAGTGATTTGGATTAACTCTGAATAAGCCTTAAATAGGCTCTTGCTAAGGGAACTGGACATCTTAATTTCTTTGTCATTTCAAAGAAATTACCTTTTTTCTTTTTTCCAGCCTTACTGAGATATGAATTGTGTATAACATTGTGAGCATTTAAGGTGTACAATGTGATAATGGGATACACTAATATATTGTGAAATGATTACTGCAATAGGATTAGTTAACAGGTCCATCACTTCACATAATTATCATTTCTTTGGGTGGATAAGGTCAATTAGGATCACTTTTCTTAGCAGCTTTCGGGTCTATAATACGGTATTCTTAATGATATTCACCCTGCTGAATAGTACATCCCCCGAACTTAGAAACCTTGAATGTCTACCTTTTCTATTTCTATTTCTATTTTTCTTTCTGAACACGAAAAGGTTTCTGTTCTATCGTGACTGCATAGTAATAATGAGACTAGTAATAGACCTTCGTTCCTTTAAAATGCCTCTCAGGTATAAATCTCATAAATTATAACAAAGTCTAAGGTATTGTGAGAGTATGAAGTACCCTTGATTGTTCTATAAAATTTCTCTGTAAGAAAAGCTTATTTCTGATTCTGCAAATGATTTTTTTTATTATCTATATTTTAATTCTTTGTACCTCTAAGCAAAATCACTTTTAATGTTTCTAGTTTTACCCTTGGCTCATCTAAACACAAGAGCTAATCCAGATTTGTCAGGAGTTTGTACAGACATTTCAATACCTCTGTGATTCAACATCTTGAATAAATGGAGACAACACTAGAAAACAACTTTACAGAATTAACCAAAGCATTTTTTTAAAAGTAAAATGCTAAGTAATATCGATCAGAAAAAACATTTTAAAAGAAGTAGCTCTCTCTCAGAAGATGATGAAATTAATACAATGAAGATAAGGAGGCGTGTCAATAAATTCTGGAAAAATGGGCAACCTTCATACCGTGGTAGCCTGCTGTCAGTTACTTTTTTGACAATCCATTTGCATCAATTTTCAAAATCATAATGTAAATAGCTCACACAACTTTCTCTCAAAATATATTAATGGACAACTGCAGTTAGAGAAACACTTCATCTTCTATATGTGTTCCTAATTATTTTTATGCGATGAACTAATTAGTTTGTATAAATGTATCACTTTTTTAAATATCAATTAACCATATTCTCATTCAAACATTTCAAAATATGAGCTTCAAAACAAGTATTTGAAATTGTAGTTTAAGTTACATTGATTTTTCTCTTAAATTACACCATAGGGGGAAATCATGGAAAAACGTATGTAAATATCTCTCATTGAGCTATTTAAAGCAATAGAAACATAACACAACTGCAATGTTAGATTTTTGTCATTTTGTTTGCATCAGGCTCCAATAAAACAAATTTTATTTTTTGCTTCCTAAAGCTAATGGTCAGTTTTGGTCCACTCATTGGAAGAAAAAGAACTTTGAAAAGAAACTTACAACTAAAAATAGTTTTGAGTATTTGTTGAATTTTTGATCAATTATAGATAGAAAGAATCTTAATTTTTACTTAAATTAATATAATCATTTGGACAATGGCATTATTCATTTCACCTTGTTTTCTTGCCCTCACAATACATCGATTGTTTTATGGAATATCTCATAATAGCTTAATATAACTGGAAGCAAATGAATCGTTTTCATATCAAAATAAGTGGCTTATAGTGGGAGCCTTTTCAAACATCATTTTATTTTCACATATATCCATTAATTTTAAATCTTGAACTGATTACTCAGAAAGAAGACGCTAATACCTTATAAATTAAACGTTGAAGTACCAGACTTTGATTCACATGTTTAACCCAGTAGCAAAAAGGCAACGAAAACTTGGTTTTTATTTTTCTGGCATCAAAAATTACTTGAGCAAAATAACACTTAAAGCTAACGGTTGCTCACACATTTACTCCATCGTGAAAAAATCTAAGGGTCCCATAACTAGATTATTGTGTTCCTGTTGTCGGGGAAATGCTTCTCTCGTCAACACTCAGCTCGGACTCTGAAATATGCGGAGGTCACATAAGACAGGGGGATGGCTTGTACTCTTCTATTTTTTCTTTGGCCAATTCAATTATAGCCTCAAAATTATGATTTTTTTTTTTNATGAAATTAATACAATGAAGATAAGGAGGCGTGTCAATAAATTCTGGAAAAATGGGCAACCTTCATACCGTGGTAGCCTGCTGTCAGTTACTTTTTTGACAATCCATTTGCATCAATTTTCAAAATCATAATGTAAATAGCTCACACAACTTTCTCTCAAAATATATTAATGGACAACTGCAGTTAGAGAAACACTTCATCTTCTATATGTGTTCCTAATTATTTTTATGCGATGAACTAATTAGTTTGTATAAATGTATCACTTTTTTAAATATCAATTAACCATATTCTCATTCAAACATTTCAAAATATGAGCTTCAAAACAAGTATTTGAAATTGTAGTTTAAGTTACATTGATTTTTCTCTTAAATTACACCATAGGGGGAAATCATGGAAAAACGTATGTAAATATCTCTCATTGAGCTATTTAAAGCAATAGAAACATAACACAACTGCAATGTTAGATTTTTGTCATTTTGTTTGCATCAGGCTCCAATAAAACAAATTTTATTTTTTGCTTCCTAAAGCTAATGGTCAGTTTTGGTCCACTCATTGGAAGAAAAAGAACTTTGAAAAGAAACTTACAACTAAAAATAGTTTTGAGTATTTGTTGAATTTTTGATCAATTATAGATAGAAAGAATCTTAATTTTTACTTAAATTAATATAATCATTTGGACAATGGCATTATTCATTTCACCTTGTTTTCTTGCCCTCACAATACATCGATTGTTTTATGGAATATCTCATAATAGCTTAATATAACTGGAAGCAAATGAATCGTTTTCATATCAAAATAAGTGGCTTATAGTGGGAGCCTTTTCAAACATCATTTTATTTTCACATATATCCATTAATTTTAAATCTTGAACTGATTACTCAGAAAGAAGACGCTAATACCTTATAAATTAAACGTTGAAGTACCAGACTTTGATTCACATGTTTAACCCAGTAGCAAAAAGGCAACGAAAACTTGGTTTTTATTTTTCTGGCATCAAAAATTACTTGAGCAAAATAACACTTAAAGCTAACGGTTGCTCACACATTTACTCCATCGTGAAAAAATCTAAGGGTCCCATAACTAGATTATTGTGTTCCTGTTGTCGGGGAAATGCTTCTCTCGTCAACACTCAGCTCGGACTCTGAAATATGCGGAGGTCACATAAGACAGGGGGATGGCTTGTACTCTTCTATTTTTTCTTTGGCCAATTCAATTATAGCCTCAAAATTATGATTTTTTTTTTTAAAAAA